ATTACCAATGCAGCACAAATGCTGAGCTGTCTCCTTTCAAATTTGATTGCGCCCAACATCACACGCCCATGAACTCTATAATGAAACAGCCGTATAAAAACAAAACTACGGGCATATATGATTAGGTCGATACACGAGTAAGGTAGAACCACTAAACAAACAACCATTACAATATCGCTGCGTCACTGTGTTGGAAATCACTTATTGTGGGAGTGACTTGCACTCCCGCGCAAGTGCCTTATGCAGCACGCTTAGGTTTTGTTAGTAAGATACCAGCTAGTGGTTTACTTTCTTCGAGCAAACATGTATATCTTTTATTAGCTAAAATAAAAACGTTATAAGGAGGAGTCGATGACTATTTCTTACATGTCAACTTAAATGTAATTTTCTTTCATCTTTATTTTAATAACTCGGCGTAATTTTATTCTGTAACTTACGACCTACCATATGTAGTTTAGATGTAATATGATTTAAAGGCCTATATTTATATTTAATAACATTAAATTTCAAAGGCGTAAAAGTATAAGCACAAGCCTCTTCAATGAATTCAACTGATTGTAAGTTAGCACATAGATAAATTTCTTACAGATAATTTCGGAGCAAACAAACTGAATTGATCTGATTGAGAGTCTTTTAAATAAGAAAGAATCTTTTAAAGAGTTTTGAAGAGTCTTTTAAATAAGAAGTTATCTCATATACTTCTTATAGGTAAATGTTATACTACTTAATATCAGTGTAATAAAGAGAATAAATAAATTAGGATTTTGTCACATTTAAAATCTTCATACATAAAATCCGAAAATGGCTACTTGTAAACCTATTTCAAACCTGAAACGTCTCGATCAGCTAGTTTGCGTGTTACGGGGAAGTTAGTATGAATAATGTTAAAAGTAATGATGAAATTTTGTTCTATAAGTATACGAGCACATCACAAGCAAGAAAATTATTGTATTTTTCACTCGATTCACAACAATAATGATATTTCTATACTACACCAATAATCTTTAAATTGTTTTAATTCCAAATTATTATTTCAGGTACGAGAGAAGACATTTTGACAAGATATTTAAAAAAGGAATTCACTTTTGAATCTGGCTCAAAACGTAATATTGCGCATAATCCATAAAAATGAAGTGACAAAATGATGCCTAATCAATCCTGTTAAAGGATCTAGATTGACTTGCAACTGTGTAAGAACATTTAACGGGCTAGTCAACTCGCAACCCGGGCCACTGGAAATAGTTATTCAAATTAACAACAAGGAGGCAACGGAAATGTAACTGGCTGAAAGGTTACGAAACTGCCATCGGCTTTTACCTCCGATGTGATCCATTCGCCACGTTACAAGTTTTCACCCTCTGAGTACCACAGAGAGGGTGCACAGCTTTTATAACTTCAAAATCTAGCTGACCAATAAAGGGGATACTGAAGAAGAACAATTGTTCTTAGTCGTTGTAACTTGGTGCAAGTTGTAACCTTAAATGTTTACTGATGCACCGGACAAACATAACTTTCATAACCAAAGACCCGCAACATATGTACGTATCACTCTGATTTTGAGGGTAACCATAAGGCTTTTTCTTTTTTACCACCCAAAGTGAGAAAAACAGTTAAACTAATACTACTAATAAATTTCTAATAACTTAACAGGACCCTGCTGTCCGAATCTTGTTCGGTAGTAATTCTTTTTTCAAAATTTTAAGAATTGCTTATCCAAGATATTAAATATAGAAAGGTTTTTTTAAATTAATTTCGTTATTATAATCGTATTATAAAGTGGAAGATGTCATGCTTATATAACAGATATGAAATGCTCTTCACGGCGTGTCATGTTCAACACGCATAGCTAAACAATGGCGCGGGCATTCGGCGGACGGACGGACGGGTCAAATGAGGCGCGGCGTCAAATCTCGGGTTGCACCGACTTGGCGCCGGGCGACACATTCGAGAAGTTAGCTCACCCATTGAAAACGACTAAAAAACAATAAACGAAAAGTTGTGGCCGTCTTGCTTCACTTCACAAAGTAACAAGCGACCATAGTAAAATCTGTAAAGGAATCGATTTCGTCCAACTAACGAAATACTAGGAATTAGGTAAATGTGCAGTGTTAATCTTTATCAAAATAAACTAAACCAACCCTACTATATATATAAGAAAGAGTCACATAATAACAAAGAATTGACATTAGCTAAAGTACACGAATACAGTATTTAAGAGTTTAATTAATTGGTTCTGTGTTTCATATGCAACTCATAGATTAAAACATAGATAAATCATTTAGAAGCCACTGTCTTAATTAGACTGAGAGATGTCAGCAAAGTCGATGCCTTGCACCGGAATAAATCAAGACTTTAATTGCTTTCTACAACGACACTCCCACCGTCGAGTTGGCGTTAATAGCGCGTGCAACCGAAACCGTATACGAATATTTGGAAGTATTTTTTACAATGAAATAGAATACTCGAAGGTCTGCGAGCAGGCGCCACAAAAAATGTGGTTGTAATTGCAGTCCAGTTTATCGCACCAATTAGAACATGCCAAACCACAAAACTATTAATTTTATTGAAGAACAATCTTAAATGATATTTAACCAGCACAATAATAAAAACTGTAAGTAGTCTTTTAAATTAAAGACGGTGATATATTTTTTTCTTATATTACCCGATATAAATGTAATTAACAATACCATTATTGGTCGTATCAATATGACTGTTGGTATAGCAACCAAATCGAAATGATTTGGATTTAATTACTTGGCTCACTGGCTCCGCCCTCGTTGTCTCGAATAGTCGTAAATCAAGAATACTAATAATACTAAGCTTTCGAGGTTTTATTGACTAAACAAACCTTCATCAACACAACTACACAATCATTAGTAGAGATTTAAATACTTAACACAGAATTAAATAAAAGTAACTGTTATTCTCTAAACAGTTTGGTAGTAGTAAGAATGTACTTTCAAAGTAATTTAGTTATAAGTAGATATAATACGGTAGTTTCCAACTAGTCGAATTCAATACTTTTATCCAAATGTCAAAAACGATACTTTTTTATTAAATTTGTAGGAATAACTGAGTTATGACGTCATAGTATACTTGCGTCAAATACCTTACCTATTTCTTAATAATTAGCTACAAAATATCTAAAACTTAGTGTATCGATCGATTGATGAATAAAAGTATGGTTATTTTTCAATATTTTATTGTATTGAAACGTCGAATTAATTTATTTTTTTCTACAAAACCCCATTTCTGCAATTAATTATGAACTTATATTTCGATGAGTCACACAACAATGCAGACAAAAAGAGATGTGTACCTACGGTATTTTGTTATCCTAGTTCGTAAGAAATATTCGAAAGAGATATTATCTAGAATGGTTTTCTCAAACAAGTTATCTACGCTTTTACTTCTAACCTTTCAGTCGTGCTAATTCCAGACACAATAAATAGAAGAACAATAAATAGGTGCGCGATTTTACTTGAGGTTTGATGAATTAAAACGTGCCTTCAATGTTTTGTACTCCAAGGAATATTTTTTAAAGATATATTTAAACAGAAAACTACAAATTTATTGTAGTAATAAGGTTGAAAAGAAACTTCTGAAACATTTTCTTTGGTATGCTCTAATAATTCTTAAAGAGATAAAATGAATTCAACATTAACAAAGTGCTAACAGGAGTCATGGAGTGTTAAAAAAGCTTATAAAATCAGCTAATATACTTAAACTAATCACTATGATGCATTAAAATATAAATTTTAAAGAAAATTTCTTTTAGGTAGGAAGCGACGATGACATATTTAAATTTCTCATTTCAAAGAGAAACAAGCGAGGTCTACAATAAAAAATATCACAAGAACCCACACACAGAGAAATTTCCACAAATCTATAATTCCATCAGCAAGTCAAGCAAATACGAAAATAAGCATCAAAGTGTTTTTTTTAGAGGAGAAACGACAAATGTCAACCAGCAAGGCAACAGTCGCAAACACGTGTTACATATTGTCTGACAATATTTACTGTTGCTTTATTAGCTCGGGAAGCGAATAGAAGGAAATGAAACTAATTGTCATTCTACATTATAAAGCACTTGTTAAAAAATAACAAAGTAAACTGAAAACAAAGATAAACCGTTGAATATAAATACAAGTCTGCCAGCAACAAAACTAATAATACTTATAATCCATTAATTATAGCAAAATGAAGATTAAAACATTTTTTGTTAATGCCTTAATTCGTGTCTAACTATTCACATACTAAAGAAAGGATCCAATAAAATTTAAATCCAATTGCGTCGACCCTTGATTTACAACGGATCAATAAAAGAGAAGGCTATCATTACTTTTTTACTGCGTATTCAATAAAAGTAATGTAGTTACCCGGTAATCAATACAATGACAATGCTCTTTAGAGACAAATATAAACCAAACTTGTTAAAGTATCTTTTACTTTTATAATTTTATTACATTTTTAATGAGAATATAGTTCTCGAATTATTATCACTAAGGATGATTACTTGGCTTAGATATAATTTTGTCGAATATTACTCCTCAACAATTATACAAACGAAATGCTCCTCGGAATTAGCGATCTTGCCCACTCTATATGACGTCTATATATCAAGAGCGAGAGTTGAAACAGTATTTGAACACAATAGTTGTATAGAAAAAGTCGGGCCTGAGAGATGGCTCATAAAATAAAACAAGGGACTACGTCCGGAGATATGTCAAGATAGCATGCGGCGGGGGGGCGCGGGCCGGCGCCGGCCGTGCACCCTGAGACCCAATTAGAAGCACACCTTTTGGACATGTGCTCTCACTTGGCGCTTACTAACTCCGAAAAACTCAAGAATACGGGACAACCACATCCGTAACCGTTTATCACATTTTTTTTAACGGAAATTATCTCAAGCTTATGTTGGACAAAGTAGAGCAAATAGTGTGATTTTTTGAAAAACGTACATTTATGCGACGCACACAAGCATACATTAAAGTACTAACCTTGGTCTTAACGAGTTTTGCATTTTCCTTACACATCTTTGCCAGGGCATGATAGTCACCTCTTGCAGCACATAAAATCCATTGCTTTTGCTTCGAGTCTAATGGGTCAACCTCGCTCTTTTGATCTAACTGCAATAAAATAGTCTTAATTTATTTGCTCCGTTTAATGGGCAATAACTCATTCCCGTCTTGTTTGTACTTACAGAAACTCTATCTTCCTCGTCCAAACCCTGCAAAAAAACAATGACTGGTCATAATAGTTCAAGATTAAATTCATGATTTTTTACTTTTAAGTACAGTTCTACTCATTCATGATAACCAATTTATTAAACGATGATCATCAACGTACTTAACGTCTGAAAACAAAAGATTAGGAATATAAATAAAGATGATATTTACATACATAATAAATATCTTAACGACACATATAAATTAATCGGAACCTAATATTTCAAAATTAATAAATGAGTACTTATATTGTGAAAATAATATTTTGAATTAATGGTCAATAAATTCGAATTCTCCCGTCTTCAGGCCTGCGCTGCTATTCAAGAAAGATGATTTAGGTAACAAGTTATTTGAATGGGTCAGTATAATTAAAAACTCTAGGTATTGTATAATACAGTTCATTTTCGTGTAATATACGGTTAAAGATACAATGTTTGCGACTGGTGCACTGGGCGTGCGCTGCGCAGCATGACCACTTTACCACCTGTCGTTACATATTTATGTCTACACTATTGGCCTCACTGTTAGGGACTTTGATATTGACAAGATAACATCCTTAATGTGATGTGTTTGATTTAATAATAAGATTAAGTTTGTACGTGGCCAGTTTAAATTCTGTGGAAACAACAATTAAAATAAACGCCTAGATTTCTTGTTAAGTGTTTCCTATATATTTTTCTATAAAATTTTGCTGTGTTCCACGAGTATTGGGTAATCACATATTGCGCCTCCTACTCTTATATAAACTCCCAAATGTATACATATATCTTCTAATTAGTGCGAAATCGATCATTAGACCTTAGGCCTACTCTTTATTAACCTTTAGATAAGCTACATAACAGTTGCTTAACTTAATTTCCTTTATCTTTAATTACACTATTTCATCGGATATACGCACTCTAACCAGGCCGTTGATTGATTAAAGGACACAATTGACACAACACGCGTTGCCCTGATAGAAACTGTAAATAACGGTTTCACTGAAAATGTTCTACATAATACCAAACAAGGACTGTTTGCTGTACGCACACTGACTAACATTTTCGTGCGAAAATGTTAATGACCATTACCCATCCCGGTTTTAGACTACCTATGAAAAACTATTGTAATCTATAAATCTTAATTTGTACATTGATTTGAACACGAGATAAGTAAATTAAACTATGAATGATGGAATAATTTTAGTTTAAGAAATATTACAAAACTATACAAGGTAATTGTTAGCTTCTATTAACTGTATCTTTTATAAAAAACATGCTGCATTTTTGTTTACACGACAAAAATAAAATTGATATTAATGTATAAAGGGTAGGCTCGCCAGTTAGTCGCCGAAGGGCTCCAGGCGTGCGTGCCTCTCTCTTCGCTGCAGGACGCCATAGGCATCACGTTGTTCGCGCTGGCTCGCATTATGGTGGCGACGACGGCACCACATTACGATCGATATACGTCACAATCTCCTAACGTTTAATTTTATTCTTAATAAATGACACAATACGAACTAAACCAAAAACAGGATATTTTCTATAGCCGCAAATATATTGACTGCTCAATTTGGGTGTGATGTCTCCGTAAAAGTAGTATTCGTCAACATTACAACAATAAAATCAAGGATGTCCCAAATAAATAATTTATGTAGGATTCATATCGCAAAAGTAACTTTAGCAACAGTTATATTATGGCATTCGACATACGAATAGAGGCTATTTCATCGTCAACTAATAAGTGCTTCTGCAGAGCAAAGGCTTCTTGTCACACGAATAGGGTTAAAATAGAGAGCACTATGGTTAGGTCAAAATAGAGATAAGTAATTAAGTTCAGCTACTTATTTAGATGTTAAGCGATTTACTACTATTTTTTTGAACTTAAAAAGTAAGTAGAGAAGTATGATTAAATATTGTGCATATTTATAAACTTTTGTAATTAAGCCAACAGACTAATTTACAGATGCACTTGATCACTTTGTTTCTGTAGAAAGCTCTCAATAGGTGTGTACCTATGTCCAGATTTCGCAAAGTAGTTCTTGTCATGGCCGCTTGATTGTTTCATGCTACAGAGCGTATATTATGCGTTGTCTTACTTTTATCATTGAATAGCTGACAGCTAATTCATCCGTTCCTATTTTCCATCACTTCGACAAGGCTCGTTAAGTGCGGCATCCGCGTTGTTGATGGCTGCGAGTGATTCTCAGACCCGAATAGCACAGAAAGAACAATGAAATCGGTCATATTTTCCTTCCAACTCGCAACAGACCGTACCGCGTTATCTTTCTCATCGTGCATAACAACTATGCGTTTATTCAAAACAATGATGATGTATACTTAAACTGAAGCCTATTTAGCTGCCTTTAGCTTTAAGATTTTGATTTAATATTGCGTGGTCGAAAAACAATAAAACATGGACTACGTGACGTAGGGCTAGCAAGAACCAGATGGTCATCGTCGTAGCTTACGGCGAAATGAGGGAAAAAAGTTTGAATAATAGAAACACCTATCAGGTAACAATAACTGCAATTAACTGCATAATACACGATAAGAATTATGCACAAATAATTTTGGAAAAATATGGTAAGGTGTATGAGCATGAGGTGTATGTTAAGGTGCGTGCTGTATATTTAAAAAAATAAGTAATAGTAGTTTACTTTTTTCTTTTCCCTTTTTTGTATTGTTCGCCCCGGTTTAACCCCGCGGTGCTTAATCTATTGCTTAATTAAAAACATTACATAAATTTACTGAATCTAAAAAATATTGCATCATTTACGACCTAAATGATCAAATTACTAGGTGCGTCCGTTTATCGTCTATTATATTATCGTAGTTCAAGATTATTCGAGACGTCTAGATAGCCTTTACTCAAAATAAGGCAATGGTCAATAAAACATTTACGTTGTACTTAGCCTTTAAAACCAATTGGATTCTGCGTTTAGCACGTACTAAGGAGTTACAGGAATCACTAAATTAAACTAACCACTTCGTTTTAAATTTAAGTATTTATACGAATGCATTTGTTGGTTGTCTTAAAGGGACAGACAATTTCCAGAAGCTTAAATGTGGCAACGTGGTAAGATAATTAGTTGGTAATGTTAGTAACATTATACAGACTGGTCATATCAAACACAAGCAAAACCTGACCAAAATCGTGGTTATACTAAGCACGAATGACCTTTTTTTCAAGCTTTAATAGCGCACGTGCGCTTTGTAGTCACACGACAGTAATTGACAATCGATCGCAAGTCACGAGGTACGAGGTAGAATTTAATATGGTGTATGATATGAATAATGATAATATTGACTAAAACTCACTGTCACCATTATAAATATAAATCTTGTTTGGATACACAGCAGGAGTCTAAGTGTCATTCCCGTCCTAAACCAGACATCTTTATTGTAGACGTTGATTTTTGGGAAGTGAAACTTGACATTACCATACTCTTTTTTGGCATACAATAGTACATAAATATGTTAAACACAATCAAATAAAAAAATACATTAGAAAATAATTATAGGGAAATAAACCAAAAAGCTTACTCGTACGTTGATAGAAGTATTGAAGTTCTATACTTATTGGTAGGTACTTTACGTAAAGCACAATTTACACAACACTCAGTGGTGCACTGCTTCTCACTATATTTATTCATCTTTCATATTATAATTTTTAATAACATGTCAAACGAGGAGAGCTTTCATAAAATTTGGTAAATTAATATTCGAAAGTGAATATTCCAACTGGTGAGCGGAAATGTATGTATACATCGTTGATCTATTTCAGTGTTGATTTATGCGCCGGGATCTCACTCAGACGGGTGGCAACGTGGCATATTAGTGAGAAACGGTTTGTTCATTTATTATTTATTAGCTTCCGCGGCGGCGTTAAGTGAATTCCAAAACCTGTGATTATCTCGTTTGGATGCATAGCTGTCTAAGTGACATACTAATTGCTAAAGCGGACATCTTCCATATACATGTTTGATTTATCGATAGAGGTGCATTTTAAAAAAGGCTGGTATAATACATGAATAAAATTCAAGGAAAATATTTCTAAATACTGAAAATTAGTTCTATTATTATGAATGTTTTTTCATAAAGCCTTTTAAGGATAACAATAATTATTATTACTAACAATTGTCAACTCCACTAATGGCGTCATGCACGGTCTATTATTATTTTTCATTATGAAGATGTTGTTCCAGTTATGTTAGCAAGCCTTGTGTCGGAGTTGTACCTTTCTGATGACGCAAAAATAAAATGACAAATATTTGTCCTCTTCATTTTTAAAAACCTTAGTTTTTTTTAAATAATATAGGGTGTTCATAAACTGTTTGATTTCAAGGTCTCCCCATAACATTTTAATATTCCGATTACGAATAATATGTCGATAATAATCATATCTGACATCATTCTGACCACTAAAGGCCCATGACGAAGGTTTTACAATTCAATTAGTTGCACCAGGTGTCGACAGACAGGAAACTTTTACCCTTACCGCAAAGGAACAATTTAACACTGAAAATCCTTTTATTGGGTTTTATAATTATATTCATAGTAGTTGCTTCATAGGCTAATGATTATATTTCTATTAAATATGCTATTAAAACAAATACTTAAATAATATCTTTTTTTAAACAAATGTCTAAAATTTTCTCTCTCTTAATAATATTGGAATAGAAATATTTTGTAGTCTAGTAAAAGTAACTCATGTGTACTGAGTGGCACTGCTACTACGATGATGGTTGTACTAGGAAACAGGTTCATATTGTAATGATTATTATTATCGTTTCTATTTGTATTTTACCTCCGGCTAGCCGGGATATCTGATGGCACGGGCCTAAGCCAAGTGTTCATCAGTGGAGTGATACTGTATTATTATTATTATTATATACTTAAACACACTAGCAGCTTAGAAAGCTGATGCGTGCGTATTAATGGATTTGGAGATTTTGTCGAGTCTGTTTTTAAAAGAATTAACTGTGGGTGCTTTTATCACATTTTCTGGGAGTTTATTCCAT